TCTAATACAACGTATTTGCGATACTCTGGGGCCATGTCAATCAATATCTGGACCATCATGCCAGTGATTTTCATGTAGACACGATCTTCTCCTTCCTTAGCATCAGGCATATAAGTTTGAATGAAAGGGTTAGGCACGTCCAGTGTCATTACATCTCTACCTTCATGTGCATCAATAACGCAAGTAGTGGTGATTGCTTCCTTTGAAGCAGTTGGACTTGCAGTGTCCTCTCACGATAACCATTCACGAGTTCCATTGCCTTGGTATACTAGGCGACCTTTAATTGTCTTTTCCAATTGCTTCTCCGCGAGTAACATCATCGCTGATTGGGCCTTCTTTCGCTCAGACGCGGTCATGTCTTTAACAAATTTAGGAGTGAAACAATCTCTCAGGAGCATTTGTCTCAATTCCTTATCCACAGCATCCTTTCCATCATCACCAAACTTCTTCAGTCCTTGGTTGATGTAATACTGTTGAATGAAGTTCAGACCTTCATCAGTATCAAACTTTGCCTTGATCTGCGTCATGCAACGAGCGATCAGAATAGCGTCGTGCTCTTCATAATCAGCTTTCATCTCATTCCCAATCTGTTGGAAACATAGACTGTGCTGTGTTTCAAGGATAGCTTTACTGTCTTTAGTACTGCGACTTCCTTCTTTGGTACAAATACCAGATTTTAACTTGTTCTTCAACAGTTTCAATTCTCTTTCTCTATGCTGGCGTCTTGTTGCAACTCGATTCTTGTTCTTATTGGCAGAACTGCCACTCCTGCTTGAAGGCCATTCTCTTGGTTTCCTTGGAACTTGAGAAAGGTTCAGCCCAGACATTGCAGCTTGCGCATACGTTTGCCCAGATCGAGTGACTTTTGCTACTTGAGGCTCTTCAGGCTCAAATACAATCTCTTCTTCTGGCGGTTCTTGTAGGTCCTCCAGATCAGTCACGAGGCTCCCAATATCATCGGTCCCTCTATCGACATTTTCTTGATGGTGATCCAAATTGGCCACAATAGGTTCTTCCTCTTTGTCGCCTTCATCACCCGAATCATCGTCTGATTCATAGTCATCATCTCCTTGGAATCTGACAGAGTTCTGGCATATCATCGACATCATTGTCTGCATCTGCCAAGAGCTCTTCTCTTTCGGAGTCATCAATATCATGGAATTGTCCATGTAAATTGAAATCACGTTCATCTTCATCTTCAGGCTCATAGTCCTGATCAAAGGCTTCTTCTAAGTAACCTTGTTCCGTGTCATCCACTCCTGCAATTTGATTGCCATCTTGAAATGTCTCCAAATCTCTTTTCTCATCAAAGAAGTTCATGGAAGTAACACCTTTGACAGCAGCCCAAGCTTCAACACGCTGGATTGCTTGATCGGTAACGGGTAGTACAACGACCTTGGGTCGGGAAATCATCTTCTTAGTATTGAGGTTGAGCACTTGGTGCCCAGTACGTTGTCCCTTCGTAGGTCCCGTTCCATCGAATTGTTGGAATCCGTCCCAATTGCATGAACATGTTGTCCAAGTTCAGCAACCATGTCACTCTTGTAGTTGATATTGACATTATCAATGAGTTGCTGCGGACTAAAGTGTGATGAGATACTGTCTTTCTGGGGAAAGACATTCAATAGCTTGGCGGCTCGACGTCCAAGACATTCAGTGATCACTTTTGGAACCACTTTGTAGGGTAATTGTGCAAGAGCTACTCTGACTCTTTCTTTCAGCGTCCTATTGTTGCGCTCAGCGGTAGGCTCGTGGTCTCCAGCTGCAGTCGGGTCAATAGTAACACCCATATCGTCTAGCATATCATCCGTGAGAGGAATGAACGCCCGATCACACTTGATGATCTTGACTTGAAAGCCTGCCTTGTTGTAGCGGCGGAATATCTTATCCAATGCTTCAAATACAGGGTCAGTCTTCAGGTTCTGCACAGGAATACATGAGCGATAACACACAGTGGTATCAATGCAGGTGAGAGACTTAGCATTCTCGATCTCCAGACGGTAAGAGATCGATTGTGCTGATATGATTCCTCTGGTGGACTGAAGAAGTCGTCGTACGTCTTCTTCAGAGTTGGTCTTGTTGACTTGTCTTTCAATGTAGAGGCGTCAGGTCCAAAGATTGCTTCAGCATGATTGATTGCTTCTTTGGTGATAGGACAGTTCTTGATGAGACCAGATCGGATCGCATGCTTCAGACTTTTGGTGCTTGAAGCATTGAGTATGTGCATTGCACTTCTCGCTTCCATCGCAGCCTTGACTTGTCTTGGAGTGAATCCTTCCTTGTTCTTGGAGGTCATCTCGAGTCCAGCATATCCATTCTGTCTGTTTGAAGAAAGTTCGAAATGGGGTTGATTATTTAAGTTGCTTAACTGGCGATGGTACATCGCACTTGTCTCTTTGGCAACTGGTTTGACATTCGCTCCAAGTTGCTCCAACACATACACACCCTTACGATTCACAAATTGCATCTTTCTGTTTCCATCACAATGCACAATAAAAGCATTGTCAGCATCAGTATCCATAGAAATGCGGTATCCCGCAGCAATCATCTCGCGCATAGCAAGTACATTGGCAATTCCATCTTCATCGTGATAAACTGGAGGTGGAAATCTTCCTAGAAAACCTTCTTTGTTGAGAACTCTGCTGCCCACGTTAGTGTGCATGTCAAGTTCTTTCTCAGCATGACGGAGTCCATGCATAAGCTCACCATTACAAATGGTGGTGTTTGTACAACCACTGTCCATGATGACATGATCGTACAACCCAAATGGATCTCTTTCTTTTCTGCGGCTTTGAATAAAGTGCAGACCTCGATCTGCTTCAGTAGCAAGATCAGGCAAATCTTCATCTTCACTAGCATAGTGCCAGTCGGCTTGAAGTTCAACATTCGTCATACCAGTAGGACATGGAATAAGATAGACATCATTGCCATTCTCATCCTTTCCCTTGATAGCATCGTGAAAGACATTTGACGTATCAAAATATCCAGTTTTCACAGCTTGCAGAGTTTGAGCTTGAGTTGCATCAAATCCTTGGCGCACTTGAGCACCACTGAAGCCTTGTCGGCTGAGTTGCATTCCACTGAACGCAATCTCACCGTTAGCATTCATAGAATAAGGGACAGTAACAGTGCCACCACCTTGAGTTGGAATCTGCATGAGCTGCATTCCGGAAGGAACTTGCATCATTTGATTACCTGTAGTACCAGCAAGTCGCAAAGGTGTGTTAACTCTTCCCACAACACTTGATGCTCCACTTGTGGATGCTGAAGCTCCAGGAACTATAGCTGGAACAGTAGCTGGGACAGTTGCTCCAATCTGGTTAAGATTGAGCTTCTTCCCATAGTCAACATATTGATCCTGATTCTTCCATTGGGTCTTTGGTAGCAGTCTGTCTGGGCATTTTGGAGACATATGGTCTTTGTTGCCACATATATAACATGCTGCCTTCTTTCCATCCTTCGGTTTCCCCTTTCCTTTTCCTTTACCTTTACCTTTATTAGGTTGGTCCTTTCCTTGGTAGAGGTTCACTCCCGGATTTTTAATCACATCCATGTGAATCTTCAACATATCTTGTGCTTTGCTGACCGTCTTTGGATAACAATCCACTTCTCTGCAATAGTTTGTCTGAAGATCCAGCATCAGAGGAGCTGTTCTCGTTCGATCGCTGTTGCATAGAAATCCTGTTGCCAGAACGGCTTCAAAGATATCATCCTTGAACTTGTTTTGAGCAGCAGTATCGGTGCTAGCAATATCAGCATACACTTTTGTCTTGACTGCAAAATCTCGGAACCAGGCCATGCCATATAGATCTTGCAGGACTTCAGCCTGTCTTTTAATCCCAGCCGTCCTGTGAGATGCCGGCCTCATGTGGAACCTCCGGCTAGAGGAGTAGGAACCTGATCGGTGACCGTAGTGGCTCCAAGCGTTGGGGAGACCAGCCAGTTCCAGTCGTCAATAGGGTCAAACCAAGGGCCCAACGGTTGGCGGAGCTGATGAGAGGGGTCATCCGACTGCAGAAGTGCCCGGGTCAAGGTGTCCTGCTATAGACGCCAGTGGTCCCGGTTTGGTTGAACTGTCCGTGGCCATTGATATGGAGACCGGTGGATGCCATCACGCTCTCCGCACCAAGCCGACTGGCGGATAGAGCGTCCATCAGCCGTGACAATATCGGAAACGGTGCACACTTGAAGGAACATACGACACCAATTGAGCCATTTCAGATCGTCTTGGTCCACCTCCAAATCCATAAACACTTCCACCAGCAGAGCATCACCAACGCATCGTAGTGGTAAGGCCGGAGAATCAAAGGCCACATAGATGTCCATGGTCTCCAGTTCTTTCCAGACTCGCTTTATCCATGTATCGGAAGCCAAGACGGCCGTGTTGCCAAAATCCTGCTGAAAGATCCCGAACGAAGTGGCAGCCCTTGACGTCGCCGACGCCCTCTCGCCATCAGGTCCCTTTTGGACCAAGCCACTCCCAGATGATGTATGCCGAGTGACAACTCAGCCACTGCATGGGTTAGAGGAGTTTGTGATTTTGGGGGTGGGCCAGGAGCATAAGTCTCCGCGACCAGTTCCCCAACCGTCATTATTCACTGCATGGGAAGCAGCATCAGCAGCAGTTGACGAGTACTTTGGATGGACCCCCGAGGAACTTGAGATTGTC